GACGCCAGGAACCGAGCAGCACCCCCGGCCCTTCGGTGCGTGTTTCCGGCGGCCGCGGCCCGGCGCAGGCCGATAGATTTCTCCAACGCCCGGTAGGTGCGGGGGGGCCTCCCCGCCTGCAGGGGCGTCACACACCAGGGTCCTGCCTTCAGGGACAGAGCAGCGGGCCCGGGCCTTGCGGGGCACAGGGCAAGTGCCTCACACCCTGCCCCGCGGCTTCGGACCCACAAATATTTAATCGTGTTTTATTTGTGCACCGCCCGCCTCTCACATCAGTGCATTTATAGAGAGGTGGAGCAAAAAAATGTTTAATTCCCAGATAATGTCTCATTTGGTCAGAGAAAAAAAAAATAATGTCTCATTACAAACATTAACTTTTGATAAGTGTTCGTTTAGATGGTATTAAAATGGAAGCAGTCCATGGAGACTCTCAGGAGCCTTCAGTGTCAGTGTTGTCGCTGCCAGTGGTGTTCTCCCAGTCTGCCTCGTGGTGTCGGCCCTTCAGTATTCTTCGCAGTGCTCTTTTTCTGAAAACAAGACTAGACGTTTCATTTTTAGAAGATGTTTTCTGCAAACAAGTGGCGTTTGAACGCTTTGGGGAGTTGAGGGCGGAGGGGGGGGTATGTGTCAATGCACTGAGCGTTTAGCCGAATGCAATGGTTTGCTCACACACCCAGCAAAGCCCTGACTGGTAGCAGCATAAAGAGAATTCATCTAAACTGGTGACAACATTCTTACATTTCTTGAAGTGTGGTGTATTGTTGATACTCGGTTGAAGCAGCCAAGAAATCCTACCCCGAGTCCTTTCTTTATATAAAATAGAATTGTCAACAGCCAGAAGGGTAGTTTACAGTGCCATTACGAGCACTTCCAGCTAATGCTAGAACTATGCTCCCTGCTTTACACGGTTTTCATCACTCTCTCACACTCCATAAAGGCAGCAATCATTGAAGACACCAGGCACTGAGAGAACAGGCCTTCAAACAAGCATTTGGGGTGGAAATTGCTCCCATTCACAGTTCTGGGAGCTTGGTCTTGAATGTCAGCAGTATGTCAGATGGATAGTGAATGACAGATTTCACTCACACATGGGAGAAATCGATCAAATTTACTAAACTAGCAATTTTTTGGAGCGCCCTCCACTGCCTGCTGTGGAACCATCCACATCATCAAGAGCAAATGTGATCATTGCTATCTTGGCTACCTCTGGTACTAAAAGAGAAGTCTCAACCAGTTCAGCTAGAAGTATAAGCCTCTGAAGATAAGATCTGGAAGGCATTTATACCCTCCATGAATCAAGGTTGGGAACAGGGGAGGGACAGAAAAGAGGAACTACATAAAACAAGCTCATCAGTTAAGTCACACAGGTTATGTCTACATTAGTCCTGCTTACTAAAGTCCAGACCTTCGGTAACGCTCAAAGCAGTCCTTCATCCTCCTCCGCTCCTTTTCTGCCAGTTCCTCATTGGCTAAACCACACTCCTTGAACTAGAAAAAAAACAAAAAACCCACAAAAAACACACAAAGAGGAACTTGATTCTTCTGAAGATCAGATCAATGTTAGCACCAGGTAACGCAAACCTGCGCTGCAATGGTGGCTGATTTTGAGGCTGATGTACTGCAGCTGGTCTCTGCGGGGTGAAAGGCTGCAGACCACCCAAATAAACCTGATCATTTCTCCTGGCTTGTTTGTGCAATGAATCCGTTTGCATTTAAATGAAGGAGAAAAAAAAAACAATGTGAACCTATCCCTTCAGATGACCGAGAACAGTGTTCACTCCCAAAACCTGCACCCGGGAAAGCAGCCCACCGCACACAGCTAGCTTCCCACAGATGCTTGGGCCTGCAGAACGAAGTACAGCATGTCCATTTCCGTAATACACCTGCTTCACATAGTTTTACTATCTTTATTCTCTCCCATTTGTAACCTTGGGATTCTGTTTCCTGTACCAGCAGTAATACTGCAGACAATTAAACTGGAAAACATCCATACCCAGAAACGAAGACCAGGAAGTAATTAGAAGAGGTTTCTAGGCACAGATGGAGAAATACACCCGGTAAGTGTTCTGCTGTTCAGAGCTCACCCTTTTTGGAGGTTGAATTCTGTACAAAGTGCTCAGATTTTGGAAAAGCAGTAGCTGCTTAGATGCTTCTCAAAGCTGGTAAATCCATCATTAACAAGAACATTAAAGGTCACAACCCCCCGTCATGGTAAAGAAGAGCCCACAGAGATTCTCTTACACTGGGTGACTTCGGAGGCAGACTGCTCTCTCGAGTGCTGAATTGCTGGTTTTGTCCTTCAGGGCAATCTTCTAAGAAAAGGAAAAATCCCAGCTTTAGTCATAGTTGCCATTGTGAAGTCACTTCTCCCTCTACCAGTTTGTCAAATGGCAATAGCTGTAATGTAAGAGCTGCCCAGCACTACACAGAGACAACAGCAGAACTGAAACCAAGCCTCAAGATGTTCAGGATTCAGTCCTGTGATCAATGCACGAGTCACTTCTCATTTTACTTGAGCCCTGATTCTTGCTTAGGGTGATGGAGTTCCCCCTCAGGCTCAGAGATATCAGCTTTCTAGTTTCTGCTTATGCCGGAGGCAAACAAATTGCTGCAAAGAAGCACCTCTGCTTAGTATTGTTTAAAAAAAATTAATCGTGTTAGAGGTCACCACAAGAAATCACGTTAATCATTATTTTAACCATAATTTGTCGCTGTTCCCCAACAAGTTGTGCATCTAAGGCAATTCAGACCATATTTTAGTGAAACTCCTTATGTCGCAATCAGGTATTATGATACATGTTTTTGAACTGAGTGAGATAGAATAATAAAAGGTTTTTTGGATGTGTTGTTTAGCTTTTGTGAAAAATCTCCCATCTCAATGAATAAAGAGATCATTTAGATCTTCTAGGAGATCAGAACAGAAAGTTTCTTCTACTGTGCTAGTTTGTTTCCTTTGTGTTTTGAAAGAGAATTTCAAGTTCTTAGAGGAGCCTATTAATTCCTTTCCACACTGCTGAATCATTTCCACTGGGGATGCTACAGAAACAGAACCAGTGACAGCGTTGACTACATGGTTCTGCTTTTGTGAAAATAGCCTGCAACATAAAAGGGAAGAGGGGAGGGAAAAATCCCTGGAGAAAGCCACGTGGTCCAGCTGAAGTGGAAGGATGTTTGCTCTGTTCTCAGCTCTGTCACAGATGCAAGAAGAGTTTACAGGGAGGATGGGGGAAGCATCATGTACCAGGTGGTTATTCCTGGACAAATTCAGTAGACAGGTTGTCTCAAAAAAAAAAAAAAAAAAAAAAAAAGACTCGAGGTCCTAGGATTGTCTAATGATACCACTTTTTCCACGTCATGCAGCTATATGAAAGACCCTCTCAGAGACCATGTAGTAAAAGGTCAGCCCGTGGAGCTTTTTTTCTCTCAAAAAAGCTTTATAAGCATTCACTATTCCCAGCATCTGGGACATGTTCTGCTTTTTATAGGCGAGAAAGATGGTGGTATGGCAGACGCCTTGATTTATGGGTACCTGTTCTGAGTCATCTCAAGGAGGTTTTGCTCGGAGTGCCAAGCACACCCCGCTGAGAAGCATTTCTCACAAACTGAGTTGCCAGTCAGACTACCTGTTCTTCGCTAAAAATAAAACCCAGGAATATCTTTTTCTGTCCCTCTGAAACACTGTACGAATTCTCCATTTCCCCAAGAAAAGCCTTACTTTTAGGCGGTTTTGTATCTTCATCTAGATGACTGTGAAGAGTAATCTATGGAACAGAAACAAAGCAAGAACATGAGAACTGCCCCTTACTCTGTCTCACACAGTAGCTAGGAACAGATGGAGGAATAAAAGAAACAGGACATGCATAGAACTAACCTTTCCTTAGTGCACCTTGCTGCCAGCAGAACAGCAGACTGAGCCAGAAGTTGCAGATCTACCCATGGATTTATCCTCCATGAATAGATCCAGTTCCTTTGGCCTCCTTTATACTTTTAGCCTCCAGACAATGTGACAATCGCTTCCACACTGAAGTTATAAACTAAAAACTCTTTACTACAGATGTCCCCAGGGACAGGCTTATTTTTGTCTGTTCTCCCACAGGAGAGGCAATTAGAAACAACACAAAATAATTCAATTCCCCCAATTTGCTTAGACTCAGAAAATCTTGCTGATTAATGCCATAACTGTGTCCTACACTTTAAAATCTCAGGACATGGGGATATTCTGTCACTGGTCTATTTTGTGGCCTCGGTTCTTTTTGGTATCACTGAAATGAGTCTGAGCCATGGGTTGAAGATTAATTAGGTAACTGTGCAGGAGGGAGGAATTTGAAACCATCCCAAAAGAAAGTAAAAGGTAAACAAGGCACCCTACTCACTTCCTGGGAATCTCTAGAGGAGGTATCATCCAGGTCAGAGGTCTGAAATAAAACCAGTATAAATTAATCATTCCTCATAAGCAAGAAATTGGTAATAAGGGAATATACAAGAGACTGGAAGCTCCAGAAAACAGAGAAGTGTGGACTTTCTCCCTCCTACACTCCTGCCTGACCACTTGGAGAAAGTACACAAGATGCCACATTAATTAAAAGCTCATGTATCTAATTTAGACCCAGAAGCCTTAGCACCCTTATGCCCTGCTCCCAGTTTCATCCAAGTGGCTCATTTACAGTCTCGAAACTCTTTGGTGGACATCATTTCTGGACATGCTCCAGATACAAACACAGAAGGCCTCAGCCTGCATCAGTCCAGTTTATCCATGCCTGAAACAAGAGTGAGGTAACAAGAACCACCAAGTCTATTATTTTTCTAAACTCAGCATTTGCATGGAAATGGCTACCCACACAGCTGGCCCCGCCTGCTGGATTCAAACTGGTTCAGCGCAAAGGCCTGGGACCAGCCCCACACTCAGCTCCCTAACCTACCCCACAGATGACAACCCTGCAGGCCTACCAGTGTGGGCAGCTCCAGCTGCAACCTTTTCAGCTTGGCTTCAGTAGCCAGTAACTGACTCTCCTTTTGGAAGAGCTGCAGTTGCAGTTCGTCACATCGCTCCCCCAGTTCCCGAATCTGCTTGCGGTGAGCGTCCCTCTCAACCAGGTTCTTGGAGTACTGCATATAGAACTGTTCTCGGGTCAGGAGCGCCTGGTGTAAGGGACAACATGTTGTGGCGTGTCACACAACAGTACACTCAGGGTTACAGTACCTGCCCACTCCAAACAGCAAAGCAGGGATTAGTGGCAGCTCCAAGAGGAATGTTTTATCACCTGGTCTCTTTCTGAAGCCACTTCCTCCATCTGCTGCAAGACAGCTTCAATCCGTTTTTTATACATCTGG